TACCCCCCTCTTTTCAAATCTCCCTAATCCCTGAATCCCCAAACGATCCTCAAACTCCTAATCCCCAAAATGCCAGTAACGCACTTGTAACGCCTCTGGTGTTTCGTGTGTCCATGGGCGACGACGATAGCTTACCATCAGGTGATCTGTCTGCTCGTTTACCGGCTTATGCCATAAAAAAAGGTACAGACAGACATTAGTCTGTGTAGTATATGTACATAATTATTGTAATGCAAGACACTTTGTTGTTTCTTTGTGTCTCCTTACAGTTATTTGTTATTAGTTTGTGCCATCTTGTAGCATCGAAATGTCGTCGAATTTTGTTTGTTTATGTACTTAATGTTAACTGTATGACTTCAGAGTATGTCTCGGAGCAGCCAGTCTGATATCGGTGCCATCTTACTTAAGTTTCGGTCGGTTTTTTCCAATGCCAGATAAATTTTAACTGAGGAAAAACAGTCAAATGTTGATTTTATTCTATAGCCCGACCTCTAGCCTCCTGGAAAAGCTCAAAGTCGCTAAGCTACGCACGGGTTTCTTGTGCGACCAAATATGAAATATAGTAATTCCCCAAAGAACTAGAGTTACCGACACAGCTCGCAAAATGTACAGACTGAAGCGGCAATAGGCAGGCTGACGGCAGATGGGCCAGGAAAGTCCTTGAGTGGAGACCACGGACCGGAAGACGAAGCGTGGGCAGGCCTCCCGGTAGGTGGACCGACGACATCGCCAGAGTTGCGGGGAGCCAGTGGATGCGGGTGGCGAGTTGTGGTTCAACGTGGAGGACTAAGGGGGAGGCATTTGTTCAGCAGTGGAAGTCTTTCGATTTATTTAACAAACGTTGCCCCATTACATTATTTTCTCATGTGTCGTGTGTGCGTGCATGAGCACTTCTTTATAGAAAAGTTTTAAGTGTGGGAGAACCATGCTTCGTCACGAATGGGCCGGCTCGACCGGAGTGATACCACGGCCGAGCAGACGACGTGAAACAACACTTGCGGTGTGTTTCGTCGTGTGAGTTTACCAGAGGTCCAATTATCCCTCACAACCTTCCCCAATCCTGAGGTTATACGCCGGGGTCTGCGGTCCATGGCCCTCTACGGCGCCCCTGTGGGCGGCTAACCTGACGTCCCGATCCGCCCGGGCGCTGTTCACGTCACAGAGGGTCATGGCGATCCGAATAATCCGCGGATATCGCACGATCTCTGGGGAGGCGGTAAACCTCCTTTCAGCGCATATTCTGTCTGTGCGCGGAGGCACGTCGCCGGGGCGAATCTCCGCTGCCGCGCCAGATTAGTGCGTGGCGGGAAGAGCTCCGGCGCGATCTCATGGCGGAATGGCAGCAACGACTACGACAACCGAGGGCTGGGCCAGGAGTGATACCACCAACGAGCTATACACCATAGTGAAACAACCACAGCGTTGTGTGCAGTCGTGTGAGTGAGGTTACCAGAGACCCAATTACACCTAGGAGGAGAGGGGTCTCTTCCTCAACCTCCCCAATCCCTGAATCCCCAGCAATACTCAAATTTCTAATCCCCAAAAGGCTGGTAACACACTTGTAACGCCTCTGTTGTTCCGTATGTCCATGGGCGACGCCGATTGCTCGTTTACCGGCTTGTCCCATAAAAAATTGCAACTATGTCTATTATTTTGTACTTTTAACTGTAGTCTCATTATAAACAAATAATACAACTGTCTTTTTTTAAGGGGGGAAAATCATCGATTGTCTTCTCCCGCCTAGGTGAGGCGAGAGGGAGTGTCAGACTCTTACTGACTAAAAACCACCCCGTTCCTACTCCTGCACGTCGAGCCGGAGCCCCGGTAACCCGTTAGGTTATCCGCGACTCCGAATCGGCAGCAGCCCTATTGGGCCCCATTCGTATATAACTATGTCTACAGATCATTTTCCGTAACATAGTATGACAATATGACAATCACACGGACGTAACACTTCGTCCGTTCACGATCAAATTTTATTATTGACTAGCAAACCCGGCGAACTCCGTTTCGCCACCAGATGGTTTCGTTTTATGTAACATTTCGTTTGGTGATTAAAGGTGAATTATCTTTGCTATAAAACTCACGGAACCCAAGACCTTTCCAACGAATGCAAAACCGTGGAGATTGGTTCGTGCGTTCTGGAGTTATAGCGTCAGGAAGGAAAACCCGACTTATTTTTATATAGTAGAATTTACCTTACAATTGACCTTACAATTTGAATGAAATCGCCCTCGCTTATGATTTTATACCGTGGCCTTTTTTTAAGGGGGGAAAATCATCGAATGACTGCTCCCGCCTAGGTGAGGCGGGAGGGAGTGTCAGACTCTTACTGACTAAAACCGAATCGGCATCGGCCCTATTGGGCCCCATCTGTGGTGGTCTGATGGGTATTTGAGGCGCGCGCGGACCGCTCGGCGCCGTACGCTCGGGTCTGTTTCTGGTCGGCCGAGACCCATGCTCTATGTCCTCCGGCCCGCGGTTACGGTGGCCGGAGATCGTCCCGCGATCCCCGACGCCCGGTGTGTCCTTCGCAATGGCTGGGTTGTGAGGACGCGTCCCGCCTCCTCCTTAGCTAGCATGACTGTTTCACAAAAGGAGGAGACGGCATCCCAGTCCCCCTCGCTCCGCATCATGGCCTGCACTAGGCCTGGACGCGAGAGGTCGCCATCGCTACAGGATTAGGTGAGGTTGTGGACGACGCCCACTATAGTTACACGCGCAGCAACGCATGCGCGCAGTGCATGGTATTTGTCCGGGAGTCGGCGACGAAGACCTCGAACGATCAAGCCACTGCGTGCATGCGAGCTGACCTACGTGATCGCCGACAACCGCCACACACGGCGTCTTCCACCTGCATACGAATAACACCCTCAGTGCTACCTTATTTCTCTCTTTTCATTTTTATTCTCTGTTCTTATTTGTATTCACTTAATCCTTACTTATATTATAAATCGGAAAGTGAGTTTGTTTGTTTGCTTGTTTGTTCTGCTTTCACGCCGTAACTAATAGACCGATTGCTTTGAAATTTTGCAGACGTAAAGTTAGAAGTCTGGATTAAATAATAGGGTACTTTTTATCCCGGAAAATTTTGATGTTTCCGAGGGAATACAAAAATATTGGTATAGATGGCGCTGTGTGTATTGGTATAGATGGCGCTGTATGTCAGTTAAAACCAGTCAACGAATTACCTACTTATAGGAAAAATGTAAATAGCGCGATATAACCGAAATCCACGCGAGCGGAAAGCTATTTGTTTGTTTGCCTGTCTTAAACGGCAGAATGTAGGTACTAATTAACGTGATTTTTTAACTGAAGGTAGTTGAACGGATAGATAGTCACATAGGCTACTTTTTATCCTTTTGTGACGCGAGCGAAGCCGCGGGTAAAAGCTAGTTATATATATTTGCTATTAATTTCAATAATATCATTCATTTTCTCGTTGCTAAAACCATTATTGCTATTATCCTACTCTGCCGCGCTCCCTTCACCTCTGTGTTACTCTGAACCTTAAGACCATCGCCGTACAGGTCAAATTCCTATGAAGCTTGTTGGTGCCGGTACTACCCGCACCACAATAGCATTTTTATTGTCGCTATTATAAAAGGTAACATAACATAACATCACGCCTTTTATCCTCGAAGGGGTAGGCAGAGGTGCACATTATACCACTGTACAATGTAACACCCACTTTCCACTATTTATGTTACGAGTCCCATGTAATAGGGGGTGAGCCTATTGCCATATACCGGGCACAATTCCAGACTCCGTGCTACTACTGAGATTTTTTTTAAAACCCAGTAATACTTTGCCCGACCCGTGAATCGAACCCGAGACCCCTTGCCCGGCAGTCGCAATTGCGACCACTCGGCCAACGAGGCTGAATAAAAGGTATGTTTTTGTAAATAAAACAACTGAATAACAAAATATAACAAATATATTTGTTTACTTAAATCTAAACATGATTGTATTGGTACAGTAACCAGCATATGGACCTACGCCAAGGTTTCAATATTTACCATTGAAATATCGACTTGAAATCTATTCGTTTACGTCCCGAAGTAAAATGGTTCTGTCTCAGTAATACAATAATTTTAAAAAGAAAATGCGTGGATATTGAATGAACTAAATGGTATTGAGTTTGTCTTTATATTCCGTACTCTGAATGCTATTGTAACAGCTACGATTGTGGTTGTATAGTGTAGACATTGAATAATTATTGAGATTTTATTGCATTGACATTGAGATTGGTTTCAAGAGTAAGCACCCAGGTGGCATTGAATTAAATCATTTATACTTTGATTCAAGATTATAAAAAACAACAATAAGAATTTGTTCGCATTTAAATGTAATTATATCAAATGTTCCCATTATATTTAAATTACATTTTGTTTATATTAATAATTTATAAATAATAAAAAAACCCTTATACCGACTTACAACTAAACTAATCATATGACAATATGACAAATGGCATATTCATATGACATATCGCATATTCATATGACATTAAAACATCATGAGCATAATATAAGCTTAAGACACGTCTATTCTTAACTACACAACAATACGGTAGATGACAAATTTTTATTTTAATGTCCGTCTGGTAGATTATTTTAAATCATTAGACACGTATTTTTTATTTTCTCACGGAAACAAATACTTTCGACGATATATTGATTTGAAATATCGCGTGACGTCACTTCTATGTACATTTTATACGTAGAAATGACGTTTTAGCCCCCACTCCTAAACTTTGATTCGTTTTATCTCAGTATTGTTTTATTATACAACAAAATAAAAAAATACGTGTCTAATATTTTTTCATTACCTAACTTACGGACTAAATAGATTTTTAATTTTCATACCCTGTCATCATCCCTATTGTGATCGTTTAACATCATATGACAATTTGACATATTATGTCATATGATTTTACAATATGACATTATGTCACGTGTCATATGATTTTACAATATGACATATTGTGTCATATGGTTTTACAACATCTTTCTGATCATGTAGTTGAGGATGCCTCCGTTCTTGAAGTACGTGAGGTCGACTTCCGTGTCGAAACGTACTTTAACTTGGAATGTTGTACCGTTGTCCACCTGTGGAAAGGAAGGTAAGATTAGTAAGTATTAAAATTACACGACACCGCTACTCTTGCCGCGGGTGTCGTATACCCGTAATCTATCACGTCTGTTCACGCGTCTACCGCGTGGACCCCACGGGGGGGGGGGGGGGGCACACAGCTCCCGGCCGCACGCCGCCGCACGCCGGTCGGCGCGCATACTGGTTTGGGCAGCGACAGACGGGTCGTGCGCTCAGAAATATTATACAGTGTGTTAATTTAAACGAGGGACATATTCAAACCCTTAATAGTGTATACTTATATGATACTAATAAAGACATGAGCAAAAAAAAAAACACTGATAAATAACAGACAGAACCACACCCTTGCGCTACCGATAACGTTATCAGGAGACGATGTCCGCGGGAGATGGCAATGACTTTTGGTTGTTGGCTTTCTTTTGTGTTGTTGCGTGTGTTTGCGTGATTTGGCACGTGTCTTGCCGCGTGAGTTTTACAGTGTTCATGAGTAATGTATTTTATGGGACAATTCCGTCAAATATTAAGGTTATAAGTTTTATACATTTTTGAGACGAGAATCGAATACTGAATACCCTCCTTCAATAAGTCACTCGTTTAAATTAACGTACTGTATACTTTAATCGATCTGTATTAAAGGAATTATTTATCTAAAGCGAGTCGTTCATTATTAAAATCCTAAACACGTCAAACGTCATAACAGCTGAACAGATCAAATGAAATTTGAAACAGGGGTAGGTTATGGTGTAAGTGAGAGATAGGCTTCGGCACTGCTGGGCCGAGTCCACCGGAGTGATACCACCAACGAGCTGACAACCAGAGTGAAGCAACCACAGCGGAGTGTGCAGGCGTGGGAGGGACGGCAGTGGAGGCACAATCCCCCCCCCCCTCCCCAATCCCTGAACCCCCTGCAACCCTCAAAAGCCGGTAACGCATTAGTAACGCCTCTAGTATTGGTGTCTATGGGCGACGCCGATTGCGTACCATCAGCAGCTGTACCCAAATGCCATTTAGCGCTTGTCTACATGTAGAATAGAAAACCAAATTATATGGAATTGACGTAAATTTTGACACTTGTCAGCGTGATCCCCATTCATTTTGAATTCTACTCTCACTGTAGACAAGCGATAAAGTGGCGATTGGCTAAAGGCATTGGTGATCCGTCTGCTCGTTGACCGGCTTATCCCATAGTAAAATGCACGACATTCTTACCTGTACGAGAATAATCTGTCCCGGCGTAATATTCTCAGGTAGATCAATGCTGAACACTTCACTGCCGTTCAGTCCAAAGGTGTCAGCATTCTGTCCGTCGAGGAACTGCAGCGGGATGATGCCCATACCGACCAGGTTGGAGCGATGGATGCGCTCGAACGACTCCGCTATAACCGCCCGGATACCCTGTAAGATTCAATTTACTTATTAACCAACTAGCTTTTACCCGCGGCTTCGCTCGCGTCACAAAAGGATAAAAAAAATTGGTTGCCTGTAAAGTCGGTATACGGGCGAAAGTTTTACGTGACAACGACTTAGAGTGGTAAAATGACGCGTGCCTTTCACTTTTTATGTCTGTCTCTCTCGCTCTTAGGCGGGCTAACCATGCCCGAGTGGAAGGGACGCGTCCTTTCACTTTTTATGTCTGTCTCTCTCGCTCTTAGGCGGGCTAACCATGCCCGAGTGGAAGGGACGCGTGCCTCTCACTCGCTCTCATTGTGAGCGCATAACGTGAGCGGAGCGTAACGCAGTTTCTTGAAGTGTCACCCGGCAAACCAATTTATAAGACGTTGTCACGTCAAAAGTAGCCTATGTGACATATAACGATATACACAGCTCCATCTAATACCAATTCTTTTGTTTTCCCTCGGAAATATTAAATTTTTCCGGGATAAAAAGTACCCTATTATTTAATTTGGACTTCTAAGTTTACGTCTGCAAAAATTCAAAGCAATCGGTTGAGTAGTTACGGCGTGAAATCGGAACAAACAAACAAACTCACTTTCCGATTTATAATATTAGTAAGGATTCCAAATAATATTTGGTTCCCAAATAAATTGTAATGACATTACGTCTTTTATCCCCGAAGAGGTAGGCAGAGGTGTACATTACGGCACTTAATGCCACTGTACAATGTAACACCCACTTTTCACTATTTATCTTATAAGTCCCATGTAATAGGGGGTGAGCCTATTGCCATATACCGGGCACAATTCCAGACTGCGTGCTACTACTGAGATTTTTTTTAAAACTCAGTAATACTTTACCCGACCCGGGAATCGAAACCGAGGCCCCTTGCCCGGCAGTCGGCCAACGAGGTCAACGAGTAAAAAACTTCATTTATAATATCAGTAGGATTTTAGTGTCCAGCGATAACTACGAAGCTGAAGTTTAACATAGATCTACTTTGTCCTATCATCACGTGGGCGCAGATGTTAAAATCTAGTCCTTTATATATATATCTTTATATTTCCAGGTCTCCTAGCTAAGAAGGCTGTGGAGAATGGTCTCAGCGTGCTCCCGTACATCAAGACGTCTCTGTCACCTGGATCTGGGAATCGAACCCGAGACCCCTTGCCTGACAGTCGCACTTGGGACCACTCGGCCAACGAGGCAGTCAGGCGTTAAATTTTAAGGTGCAATTTACATGTTTTAGATCTCCATATTAATATGTTAAGTTTAACAATGTACTTACAAGTAGATAAGGTCCCTTGGCGGCCCAGTCACGACTCGAACCTGAGCCATAGTCCTTGCCAACCACTGCGATGAGGGGAACATTCTCGGACGCGTATCTGTTGAAGATATAATATTATTATAAGGGGGCGTCCATAAATTATGTAACGTGTTTTTTTTTATTTTCTGTCCTTTCCTTCCCCCCTTGGTGAAATTTCGTGAGATTTTATTCAACCCCCTCCCCCATCCCTCAATCTCACGTGAGATTTATATTAATATAAGGGGGCGCCCATAAATTAAGTGAGGTGATTTTTTTACTTTTCTGTCTGGGTAGGGATCCCCCTGGTGAGATTTCGTAAGTTTTTATTAAACCCCCTCCCCCATCCCCCAATCTCACGTGAGAGTATTCAAAAAGTTGGATTTTCGCGTAAACGCGTTTTATTGTTATTGCAAAAAGAAAAAAAATTGCTCCGAGCTTTTATTTACGACTAGTTAAGACTAGTAATCAATATTGCTGATAGTTATAAGTGTAATAAAAATGTAATAATAGAATACTATACGTATAAAACAAATCCATGTACAATCTTGATTAAATGGTCTAAAATAGTGTTTTTTTGTCAGAAAAAATACGTCATATTTGCCGAGACTCCCCCCTCTCTCTTTCCAACGGAAGATAAGATGAGATTTGAGTCTACCCCCTCCCCCCCTTAAACATCTCACGTAATTTATGGACGCTCCCTAAGTCAAGCGTGTCTTTGCATTGTTCTCACACACACAGTATTGGAATATGTATCAGAGACATTGTAGAACATACTTTTATAAAAAGAGTAACGAATGGAGTTTCTTGGTCGTTCTTCTCCATTCGAATCTACATTTTGGAACGAGCGCCTAGCTTCACTGACGGACAGACTGACAGATTATTATCACTACATAGTAGCATTAACTGTTTATTTGTTCATTTTTTTAAACTTTACATTAATATCTCCAAATAATAAAATTCAACAATAATATTTTTAAATGATTATACAATCAATAGCTATGACCAATAATAAATATAAAAAATATCAATTTTGTTATTATTCTGCTGGCGATACTATTTTGACAGTTATTATGTCAAATTGGCAGCAAGCGCGGTCCTATCCTTATTTGGCACGCATTTTTTTTAAGGGGGGAAATCATCGAGTGACTGCTCCCGCCTGTGTGAGGCGGGAGGGAGTGTCAGACTCTTACTGACTAAAAACCACCCCGTTCCTTCTCCTGCACGTCGAGCCGGAGCCCCGGTTACCCGTTAGGTTCTCTGCAATATTTGAAACGCATAGTATTTTTTTTTTATTAAAAAATATTCTCCAACATACCTGTCAGCAGCGTCGAATATATCCATGACATCCCCGCTGGGATGGTGCGTGGTCTTAGGTCCGGCGGTGGGCGCCATCTTGTTGACGAGGCGAATGTTGGCGAACGTGCCGCGGGACATCACTGCGTCGTTGCCGCGACGGGATCCGTACGAGTTGAATTCTCGGGGAGTTAGACTGAAATAATTAATTAAAATTGTGAAATGTATTCTTATATAACTCAAAGGTAACTGACTGACTGACTGACTAACGCACAGCACAAACCACTGGACAGATAGGGCTGAAATTCGGCATGGTAGACGTTATGACCTAGGTATTTTATTTATTTATTTATGTACACACATTCAACACAGAGGACAATACATAATAAAAACAGAGTACATAGGCCCCACATATTCCAACTGGAATTTCTTTCTGTGGGCCTGTGGCAGGAAAAGAAATAACAATACAGAGACACATAGTGTGTTACACAAACAAGATGAATATCAATTTAAAAAAAGTAATAATACCAAAGAAACCAATAGAAATAACAATAATAAACAATAAAACAAACTAATACAATTATATAAAAAAAAATAACCAATATATAAAACCAATATATATACCTACATATATATAAATATTTCAGGATGAAAAGATAATGTTCTCTCACAGGTATCATAAAATAGGGGATACAACTTTGTCAATTTTAAACCGATCGGGCTGAGACTTTGCATGCACAAACCTACTATGACGTAGGCATCCCCTAATAAAGGATTTTTATAAAATCCACCCCTAAGGGGATAAAATATGCGATAAAAATTAGTCAAATCTTCTTAAATTTTCGACTGATAAACTGAAATTAAATATTAGAGCTACTACGGTGAAGACGTGCGCTTCAATAGGATTTTGATAATTTGATTAAATAGCATAGGACCTGAGAAAGGACCTCTGAGAGTTCAACCCGGATATCCCACGAGAACGGAAAGAATAGCCGTAGAATATACCTCGGAAAAGACAAATTCAGCCGAAACTCGTTATTCTACGCGAGCGAAGTCGCGGGAGATATGCTAGACGATGTGTGTCGACGAAGCGCACACATAACATCACGCCTTTTATCCCCGAAGGGGTAGGCAGAGGTGCACATTATGCCACTGTACAATGTAACACCCACTATTCACTATTTATGCTATGAGTCCCATGTAATAGGGGGTGAGCCTATTGCCATATACTGGGCTACTACTGAGATTTTTTTTAAAAACTCGGTAATACTTGCCCGACCCTGGAATCGAATCCGAGACCCCTTGCCCGGCAGTCGCACTTGCGACCACTCGGCCAACGAGGCAGTAAAAGAAGCGATTTTTCTATATCGTCAAATTTATGTGCACCTTTGCCTTCCCTCATAGGATAATGATATGTTTGTAGTTCTACTTACCCCCTATCAGCCAAGAACCGTGCAGCAGGAGAGTTCCTCGCGATGGATCCAGCTGGAGAGATATGGTCAGTGGTCACCGAGTCACCCAGCAGGAGCAGGCAACGGGCGTTGTGGACGCCTTGACGTGGGTTCAGGCCCTGGGGGGAGAAAAATCTTATACTATAACTAGCGGACCCAACAGACGTTGTCCTGCGTATCTACTTGAATGTATAAACAAAAATTCATTCAAATTAGTTCAGCTGTTTAGGATAAATAACCTAAACATCGACTGCAGCGCCATCTGCCGGGCTGATTTTTTAATCTAAACTATTCCCAGATCTCCTTGAACACACACAAAAAATTTCATCAAAATCGGTCCAGTCGTTTGAGAGAAGTTCAGTGACATACACACTCACAGAAGAATTATATATATAAAGCGGAGAAGTTTGTTTTTTTGTTTGTTTGAATGCGCTAATCTCCGTAACTACAAGTCTGATTTGAATAATTATTTTTGTGTTGGATAGCGCATTTATCGAGGATGGCTATAGGCTATAAAACATCACGCTACGACCAATAGGAGCTAAGCAGAGCGCGTGAAACCGCGCGGAAGTAGCTAGTATTAAATAGACAGACTATATTCCCGCTATATTCGCTTCATCAACAGTCATCAATCTTTTCATACACGCTCGTCTAATTAATAATTATAATATAAGCTTAACTTGTTTCTTTGTTGATGCTTATCTCCGAAACTACTGGTTCGATTTGAATAATTATTTTTGTGTCATATAGTGCATTTATCGAGGAAGGCTAAAGGCTATAAGACATCACGCTACGATCAATAGGAGCCGAGCAGCGGATGACACAACGTTGAATTACCAAGTTTTAAATACAAATATTGGTACTTAAATAAAACATTCACTTTTTTATTTTGTTATTTTCTCTTCTGTGATTTGACCAAAACGAAATAACGAAGAACATTTATTCAGCACAAAACACGATGCAGCATAAATAAAATATAAAAAAAAGAAAGTAAGATAAACAGTGAGTAAGCAACCGCCGCGGGCGTAAAATAAATTACACGCCCGCGCCCTTCCCCAATCCCTAAATCTCTAACAATCCTCAAATTCCTAATCCCAAAAGGCCAGTAACGCACTTGTAACGCCTCTGATATACGGAGTTGCGGAGAACTTAACGGGTTGCCGGGGCTTGACGTGCAGGAGAAGGAACGGGGTGGTTTTCAGTCAGTAAGAGTCTGACACTCCCTCCCGCCTCACCCAGGTGGGAGCAGTCATTCGATGATGTTCCCCCCTTAAAAAAAAAACGCTTCTGGTGTTCCCGGTATCCATGGGTGCCGCCGATTGCTTACCATCAGGTGATGCGTCTACTCCGGCTTGTCCTATAAAAAAAAATCGTATCTGTATTCTACAACAGCTGCGAGCCCGCACCCGCGGTGGACGCGGCAGAAAATCGCGCCGTGAACCCTTAGCTTAACTACTAAATATGTTCATACAAAAGAAGTCTCTAAACATTTTTTTTATATATACGTTGCCCCACACTAGGTTTATCTCCTGTGTCGTGTGTACGTTTACAAACATACAAGTTCACATACACATGACGCCCAGACCCGAAACTACAATCTGTGGATCACACACAGTGTTGTTCCGTGCGGGAATCGAACCCGCGACACGTTGTACGGCAGCCGGGTGCCCAGCCACCGCACCAACCGTGTAAACATTGGAAATAAGATCTATAATGTAGTTAGTGGAGAACGGTCACCGGTGACCACTTGGGGATATATGGCTTAATAGAAGGGGAGCCCATGAAGGGATTTCAGTAGTTACTCGAGCGCGTCAGAATAACATATGGGGAAAACCTAGTGTCATGTTGAATATACCCACCATATACCCCATCTGATAAAAAGGGGAGGACTAAAAATAAAAAAAGTCTGACTAAAGAAAGCCAATTTCGTCAGATTAAGGGGAGGTAGGTCAATACCATGCTAAAGGAAGTGCGTTTAAAAAATCTGCCCATTCCAACTTGATTTGCAAGAGTGGGGGGATTTTAAAGGGTTCTCGTTTGTACTCTTCAGAACATTCAACCCCACCATGCAAACTGGCAGATTAAGAGTTATTATTATTAAATATACATGGAGCATGTACACTATCAATATCTGACACGCTCGACCACTAGAACAAAAGTTACGCTTAACAATTTCAATGATCTGTGGATTCCCCCTTCCCCCACCGGTGGAAGAAATTGTCACTAAACCATTTCTTATTTCTATCAGCATATCCTCAAAATCCAGGTCGTCGTGGTGGCCCGGAGGTTTAAGACGCCTGCTTCTCATGCATGAGGGTGCGGGTTCGAAACCTACCAACGTCAAGTACCAATGTGACTTGTTCCGAGTTATATGTACCTCTACTTTCTAAGATTATTTAGACACCACTGACAAACGGTGAAGGAAAAACATCGTGAGGAAACCTGGGCTTATAATTTCTAATTATAAGTTTGAAATCGCCAACCCGCATTGAGCAAGCGTGGTGATTAATGCTCTAACCTTCTCCGTGTGAGAAGAGGCTTTGCTCAGCAGTGGGCATTTATAGGCTGTTGATGTTGATGATGATGATCCTCAAAATCCAGTAGCTCCCAACGACGCTGAAGTAAATCTAAATTTAGCATCGTGGGCTACTATAATATATTAATTTCTTGACTCACCCTGGTCATACCATCGAAGAATGGAGGTCTCTTGATGTATGTAGAGTTCGGGTCCCAGCCATACAGCTTGCCCTGCGGCACGTCCAGAGCTTGCCAGGATGGAGACCCAAGCTCGATCTTAGCGTACACCTGGAAAAAAATCATCATCATTTATTTATTTTACACTTTATTGTACACCATAATGTGCACCTCTGCCTACCCCTTCGGCGATTGTCGCGGAGAACCTAACGGGTAACCGGGGCTCCGGCTCGACGTGCAGGAGAAGGAACGGGGTGGTTTTTAGTCAGTAAGAGTCTGACACTCCCTCCAGCCTCACCCAGGCGGGAGCAGTCATTCGACGATTTTCCCCGCTTAAAAAAACCCTACGGGGATAGAAGGCGTGATGTTACGTTATGTACGGTCAAAAGTCCACTGCCACAGTGAGACTACTATCGATTATACACACACACACGCATATTTGTATCCGTGTGCGTACGCACGCGTGTTTATGCACATTAATACCATAGTATAAAGAAAAGGGAAGTAGGCCATCTTCTTCCCAATCCGCGATATAATTGCCTACTGTCTTAGGGTTGTCACTTTTAGTTTAGGCGCAGCTTACATACCAACATTGTTTACCTTTAGTTAACCACATAAATCGATAGACCATAGTCAATTACTTATTTTGAAATACGATTTTATAACTGTAATTAGGTAGGTACTTAGTTACTATACATACCCACAATACTGAGAAATCGACATAACCATAGCTAAACGTAAACAAAACAATAGCGGCAAATCAATGGGGATGATGACAGGGTATGAAAATTAAAAATCTAATTAGTCCGTAAGTTAGGTAATGAAAAAATATTAGACACGTATTTTTTTATTTTGTCGTATAATAAAACAATACTTAGATAAAACGAATCAAAGTTTAGGAGTGGGGGCTAAAACGTCATTTCTTAGTATAAAATGTACTGAGAAGTGACGTCACGCGACATTTCAAATCAATATATCTTCGAAACTATTCGTTTCCGTAAGAAAATAAAAAATACGTGTCTAATGTTTTTAAATAATCTACCAGACGGACATTAAAATAAAAATTAGTCGTCTACCCTATTGCCAGGTCTAATTGCACGATGATGATGGATGATAATGATGTGGATGTTACCTCCTTGAACATCCCAGGAATGACATGTTTGTTCTCGACCTCCTGTATTTCAGCACGCGTGGGCCAGATCTCACGTAAGTATACCCGAGTACCGTCAGCGCGAGTACCTGTATTAAAATAAATAAAAATAATTAGTTTTAACGTAACATCACGCCTTTATTCCCGAAGCGGTAGGCAGAGGCGCACATTACGGCACTTAATGCTACTGTACAATGTAACACCCACTTTTTACTATTTATGTTATGAGACCCATGTAATAGGGGGTGTGCCTATTGTCATATCCCGTGCTACTACTGAGATTTAAAAAAAATCCCCAAACCCGGGAATCGAACCCGAGACCCCTTGCGCGGCAGTCGCACTTGCGACTACTCGGCCAATGAGGCAGTCAAGTTTTTTTTTTTATTGGGACAAGCCCGCCACAACCTCCCAAAACCGCTGCAACTCCTGTAAGCCAGGATCTACAGTAGTTTATAAAATAAGGGAGGTAAACAATAATCTAGAGCGTAGGACAATATCGGCGAGCTAAATAATAAATATTTTACCCGACAGCTGAGTTTTAAAGTCAATATCCACAATTCCAGCGAGAGCTAACGCTATGACGAGTAGTGGCGAGGCGAGCGCGCGTGTTCGGATGGATGGGATATTAGCAGCGAAGTGTGGTGCATAGGACAGAATCAGCAAGCTGACCAATTGGGACAGTATGGGCGAGCTGAACAACTGGGACCGTATCGGCGAGCTGAGGGGAGCTTAACAACTGGGACCGTATCATCGGCGAGCTGAGGTGAGCTTAACAACTGGGACCGTATCATCGGCGAGCTGAGGGGAGCTTAACAACTGGGACCGTATCATCGCGAGCTGAGGAGCTTAACAACTGGGACCGTATCATCGGCGAGCTGAGGTGAGCTTAACAACTGGGACCGTATCATCGGCGAGCTGAGGTGAGCTTAACAACTGGGACCGTATCATCGGCGAGCTGAGGTGAGCTTAACAACTGGGACCGTATCATCGGCGAGCTGAGGGGAGCTTAACAACTGGGACCGAATCATCAGCGAGCTGAGGGGAGCTTAACAACTGGGACCGTATCATCGGCGAGCTGAGGTGAGCTTAACAACTGGGACCGTATCATCGGCGAGCTGAGGTGAGCTTAACAACTGGGACCGTATCATCGGCGAGCTGAGGTGAGCTTAACAACTGGGATCGTATTGGCGAGCTAAACAACTAGGACAGTAACGACGACCTAAAACATTGGAACAGTATCGGCGAACTCTTTCTCCTTGACCAAATATTGGTATTACATTGTTCTCACATTATTGAACTCAACGAAAGAATGTAACCAAAAATTGTATTGTGAACATGATTGAAAAAGAGTAACCTATGGAGTTTCTTGCTCGTTCTTCTCCATAGGAATAACTTCACTACAGGATTGACCTACAGATATATTAATAATTTAATATTTTGTTTTGACGATCAAAAGTACCTTCCTGGTCTCTAATTGAAATTAATGATTTTGACTTTTAACTAAACTAAATTTGTTTATTTAGTTGTTTACAACTGGGACAGTAACGGCGAGCTAAATAATATCTTACCCAACGGCTGAGGCCGAGCGAATATGGGCGAGCTAAACAACTGGGACCGTATCGGCGAGCAGAGGGGAGCTAAACAACTGGGATCCTATCAGCGAGCTGAGGGGAGCTTAACAACTGGGATCGTATCGGCGAGTAAAACAACTGAAACAGTATCGGCGACCTAAACCATTAGAACAGTATCGGCGAGCTAAACAACTGGGACAGTAACGGCGGACTGAACTAAACTTGCTTAGTTAGTTGTTTACAATTTCTCAATTACTGGGACAGTAACGGCGAGCAAAACAATATCTTACCCAACGGCTGAGTTTCAAAGTCAATGTCCACAGTTCCGGCGAGCGCGTACGCAATGACCAGTAGTGGGGAGGCGAGGTAGTTAGCTCGCGTGTTGGGATGGATGCGACCCTCGAAGTTACGGTTGCCGGAGAGCACGCCGCAGCATACTAGTTCATTCTGGAGATAAGAAAAATCATGATAAGTATAATAGGGTAGTTTCCAGGGTATTAAAATTAAAAATGTAATTAGTCCGTCAGTTAGATAATGAAAAAATATTAGACACGTATTTTTTTATTTTCTCGTATTAAGTTACAATACTTAGATAAAATGGCGCTAATTTTAGGAGTGGGAGGTAGTTACGTCACAACGTGCTACATTTTGTTGCACGCTGTGACGTCACTCGACATTTCAAATCAATATATCGTCGAAAGTATTTAAATTTGTGAGAAAATAAAAAAATACGTGTGTGATGTTTTAAAATAATCTTCCAGACGGACATTACAATAAAAATTAGGAAACTAACTTATTATAAGTCCAGGTTTCCTCACGATGTTTTCCTTCACCGTTTGTCGGTGGTGTCTGAATAATCTTAGAAAGTACATATAAGTCGGAACAAGTCACATTGGTACTTGCCGTTGGTAGGTTTCGAGCCCGCACTCTCATGCATGAGAAGGCTTAAACCTCCGGGCTACCACGACATACCTATAATAGGGTAGATGCCTAATTTTTATTTTAATGTCCGTCTGGTAGATTATTTTAAATCATTAGACACGTATTTTTTATTTTCTTAGAGAAACGAATACTTTCGACGATATATTGATTTGAAATGTCGTGTGACGTCACTTCTATGTACATTTTATACGTAGAAATGACGTTTTAGCCCTCACTCCTAAACTTTCATTCGTTTTATCTAAGTATTGTTTTATTATACGACAAAATAAAAAATACATGTCTAATATTTTTTGATTACCTAACTGACGGACTAATTAGATTTTTAATTTTCATACCCTGTCATCATCCCTATTATGGCTTACCTTCTCAATGGTATTGGCAATGTTATCATCGATTGGTCCGGAGTTTCCGATGCACGTCATACATCCATACCCGACTATGTTGAAACCGAGCTTCTCCAGGTATGGTACGACGCCGGATTCCTGGAACAAAATCAATATAAATTATATTACAAACTACGTTAAAAAAAAACAAATAACAACCCCCTCATTCGTTTGAAGTCGGTTAATTAATATACAAATACAAGTGTGGGATAGCCATGCTTCGGCACGAATGGGCCGGCTCGACCGGAGTGATACCACGGCCGAGGAGAAAACCGACGTGAAGCAACGCTTGCGTTGTGTTTCATCGTGTGAGTGAGGTTACCGAAGGTCCAATAACCCCCCCCCCCCTTTCCCCAATCCCTGAATCCTAAACAATCCTCAATTTTCTAATCCAGAAGGCCGGTAACGCACTTGTAACGCCTCTGGTGTTGCGTGTGTTCATGGGCGACGCCGATTGCTTACCATCAGGTGATCCGTCTGCTCGTTAACCGGCTTATCCAATAAAAAGTTGGTATATGCAAATAGGTTCACATTTATTAGCTATGGTACAAATGGGGCTGGTTCAATTCCCATCTTTTTTTAAGGGGGGAAAATCATCGAATGACTTTTCCCGCCTGGGTGAGGCGGGAGGGAATGTCAGACTCTTACTGACTAAAAACCACCCCGTTCCTACTCCTGCTCTTCGATCCGGAGCCCCGGCAAACCGTTAGGCCTTCCGCGGCTCCATATCGGGCATCAGTCCCAAATGGGCTGGCTGGACCGGAGTGATACCACGGCCTCACAGAAAACAGACGTGAAACAACGCTTGCGTTGTGTTTCATCGTATAAATGAGGCCCCAATAATTACCGGGGCCCCAATTACCACCCCCCACCCCCCTTCCCCAATCCCCCCAATCCCTGAATCCCCAACAATCCTCAAATTCCTAACGCAATACCCGTCTAAAGTTTTCTTACACAGATAGGTAAAAAATTTGACAACAGATAAGCTCATACCCTGAGATAATAGGTGACGACTCCAGATCCAGGTGACAGAGACGTCTTGATGTAGGGGAGCACGCTGAGACCATTCTCCACAGCCTTCTTAGCTAGGAGACCTGGAAACATAAAGATATATTAAGGACTAGTTTTTAACATCTTCGGTCACCTGATGATAGGACAAAGTAGGCCTATGTTAATCTTGAGCTTCGTAGAGATCGCTGGACACTAAAATCCTATTACATAACATTACGCCTTTTATCCCCGAAGGAATAGGCAGAGGTGCACATTATGCCACTGTACAATGTAACACCCACTTATCAATATTTATGTTAGGGGAATTTTTACTGCATCTCTATTAAGAAATTTAAGCAAATTAAATTAAATAATTAATAACCTACTGCATATCAAAAAAATAAACCGTAAAACAAAAATACTGATTTGCACGCTAATTTTTCAATATTAGGTTTTTTTAAGGGGAGAAAATCATCCATCATCAGGAGAAAATCAGAAAGGGAGAAAATCATTCATCAGAGAATGACTGCGCCTGGGTGAAGCGGGAGGGAGTGTCAGACTCTTACTGACTAAAAACCACCCCGTTCCTTCTCCTGCACGTCGAGCCGGAGCCCCGGTTACCCGTTAGGTTCTCCGTGACTTCAATATTAGGTAAGGTTTGTTTTTATATATTTTGGTGCACTCGAAGAATTATTAGATATACTTTTCGTTAAAAGATAGTCATTCAGTAAAACAGTTAAGCTTTAAAAATCTAACAGAATAGCATAGTTGATTTATTTGCTCGTTTGACTGCCTCTTTGGCCGATTGGTCGCAAGTGCGACTGCCGGGCAAGGAGTCTCGGGTTCGATTCCCAGGTCGGGCAAAGTATTACTGGATTTTTAAAAATCTCAGTGGTAGCACGGAGTCTGGAATTGTGCCCGGTATATGGCAATAGGCTCACCCCCTATTACATGGGACTCATAACATAAATAGTGAAAAGTGGGTGTTACATTGTACAGTGGCATTAAGTGCCGAAATGTACACCTCTGCCTACCCCTTCGGGGATAAAAAGGCGTGATGTTATGTTATGTGCAAATTTAGTGTGCAATTCAGTATTTTTGGTGGTAATTTCGAATATATTGATTGAAAAAAGGGAATTTACTGTTAAAGTATTAAATACCATTTATGTTATGAGTCCCATGTAACACTAAAATCCCACTGATATTATAAATGAAGTTTGTTTGTTTTTTACACGTTGACCTCGTTGGCTCTCGGCCGAGTGGTAGCAAGTGCGACTGCCGCGCAAGGCGTCTCGGGTTCGATTCCCGCACAGAACTATTCTTTGTGTGATCCACAGATTGTTGTTCCGGGTCTGGGTGTCATGTGTATGTGAACTTGTATGTTTGTAAACCCACCCACGACACAGGAGAAAATCATAGATGAAACGTCTTTATAAAAATCCTAATCCCCAAAAGGCCGGTAACGCACTTGTTGCGTCTAGTGTTCCAGGTGTCTATGGGCGTCGTCGATTGCTTACCATCAGATGATCCGTCAGCTGGTTTACAAGCTTATTTCATAAAAAAAAATGATACATTAATAATGTACTCACCAGCGCCCAACATAACGCTAGGGTTAGAAGTGTTGGTGCAGGATGTGATGGCAGCTATGATGACGGAACCGTGTGTGATGGAATACGTCTTGCCATCACTGTAGCTGAAGCTGCCTGATGCTGAGAGGTTCGCTGGGACAGACCGTAACCTTTGAAGCCGACCTGGAAAGGTGAAGAGGAAATTTATAATACATTTTTATGAATTTTTTAAGGGGGAAAATCATCGAATGACTGTTCCCGCCCGGGTGAGACGGGAGGGAGTGTCAGACTTTTACTGACTAAAAATCACCCCGTTCCTTCTCCTGCACGTCAAGCCGGAGCCCCGGTAACCCGTTAGGTTCTCCGCGACTTTTTTATGGAATAGGAAGCAAACGAGCAGACGGATCACCTGATGGTAAGCGATCAGCGTCGCCCATGGACACCCAAAACACCAAGGCGTTACAAGTACGTTACCGGCCATTTGGGAATTGGGAATTTGAGGATTGTGGAGGATTCGGGGATTCGGGAGACTAAGGAGGGGGGAATTGGGCCTCCGATAACCTCACTCACACGACGAAACACAACGCAAGCGTTATTTCACGTCGGTTTTCTGTGAGGCCGTGGTATCAGTCCGGTCGAGCCGGCCCATTCGTGCCGAAGCATGGCTCTCCCACACTTGTCCCTCACCCTAAGAACAGAGACGCGTGTCAATATCAATAACAAACGTTCGCACGTGATTTGCATCATAAACAATGCATATAAGTAAGAAATTGAATAAATTAGAACAGTTCCGCTTTATCAGCTGAATTTGTACATAATTATTGTTGTTTATGACCTTGCTGAGTCAGTTTATTCATTCACACAGCTCATAGCATGGTTTCGTTTACTTTTTAAATTATAATATTTACAAAGTTCGACAGTTTCATATAAGAATGCTTTTTTAAATAGTTGCTCTATTTTTTATAATAACTATAGTGAGACATACTAAATTAACTAAAAATCGCGGGGTACTCACGTGAATATACTGAGAAAAGCTCTACTAGTTTCGAACCACAGAGGAGTCGCAGCGATGTATAGTAGGCTGCGCGACATCGCCGCGACCGCGCACGCTGCTCATGAGGAAGAACTCCTCTGTGGTTCGAAACTAGTAGAGCTTTTCTCGCGCGATTTTTATTTAATTTATTTGCCCCACACAAGGATTGTCTCCTGTATCGTGGGTGCGTTGACAAACATACAAGTTCACATACACACGACACCCATTAGTTGCCTAGCCACTGTGCAGTCAAGTATGTCCTATGCCGGAGAAGAGGGAGACGTAGATACACACATAACATCATGCCTTTTATCCCCAAAGGGGAGGCAGAGGTGGACATTACGGCACTTAATGCCACTGTAGAATGTAACTTTCTTCTCCACTCGAATCGACATTTTGGAACGAGCGCCTAGCTTCACTGATAGACTATGATTTATTTCATATTTGTTGACGTTTCAAAAGTACCAAATTATGGTTTAATTGAAATAAATGCTTTTGAGTTTGAGTTTAACATCCACTTTTCACTATTTATGTTATGAGTCTCATGTAATAGGGGATGAGCCCGTTACGTACGTACGTATTACGTAAATAATATATATTTAATATTGTGTGGTGTCCCGGAGGTTAATGAGATGAGAGAGCGGTTTGGAAACCTACCAACGATAAGTACCAATGTGACTTTTTCCGAGTTATATGTACTTTCTAAGATTATTTAGACACCACTGACAAACGGTGAAAGAAATCATCGTGGGGAAAGCTTTTTTTTATAGCATAAGCCGGTAAACGAACAGACGAATCACCTGATGGTAAGCAATCGGCGCCGCCCATGGACACCCAAAACGTTACAAGGCGTTACAAGTGCGTTACCGGCCTTTTGGGAATTGGGGATTTGAGGATTGTGGAGGATTCGGGAGACTAGGGAAGGGGGTTTTTGGCCAACTGGTAACTTCACTCACACGACAAAACACAACGCAAGCGTTGTTTCACGTCGGTTTTCTGTCAGGCCGTGGTATCACTCCGGTCGAGCCGGCCCATTCGTGTCTCCCACACTTAACACCCAGGCTTATAATTTCTAATCATAAGTTTGAAATCGCCAACCCGCATTGAACAAGCGTGGTGATTAATGCTCAAACCTTCTCCGTGTCCTTAGGTCAGCAGTGGCCACTTATAGGCTGTTGATGATAATGATAATGATAAAAGAGGTTATATACAAACAAACAATTTTACCACATTTATAATAAGACAATATGAGTCATGTCAAGGAAGATTAAAAGCTGAATAAGATATTTGGACATACGTGTCATACATATTATTGGAGTTAAGATTATAAAAACAGTCTTCGGACAACGAGAGTATTAATTGTCGTGTTTGATTTGTTACCTTTTGACAATGTTTATTAACACAAATTATAATTATAGTTTCTTTGTCGTATTATTAAAAGTACACGTATTAACAAATGAGTGTCTATATTATTTGCGACGTAATTTTCGTGTGTTTTTGAAAAGCATAGCGTGTTTTTTTTTAATGTTGACCCACATTGGGGTTTTCTCCTGTGTCGTGTGTGCGTTTACAAACATACAAGTTCACATACACATGACACCCAGACCCGAAACAACAATCTGTGGATCACACAAAGAGTAGTTCCGTGTGGGAATCAAACCGGCAACATGGTGCACGGCAGCCAGCCCAGCCAGGTTGCCCAGCCACCGCGCCAACCGTGCAGTCCATGATTAAAAATATATGGGTAAGTCATACACATATTTTTTATTGTAAAACGAGCAGATTCATTAATTGATTTTATAACCAACTTAATTTTAGTATTTTTCTAACAAACTTTTAAGAAATAAGTATTCTGTTTGACGCTAAAAAAACGTGACGTCACAATACACAATCTCATACAAAATTCATAGAAAACTGTCGTTTTTGACAGTTCGAAAAAAGTGTTGAATTTGACTAGTTGGTGAGTACCCAATTGAGGAGTTGGGGCTCCAGCTTCCGATATGGCAGTCCGGTTTTAATTATTGCTGAGCAAATCTTCTAACAGTGACTGAGTGAGAGAGAGAGAGAGAGAGAGAGAGAGTGTAGGTAAGTGCTGGGAGGGGATTGGTCCAAGAATAGATGAAAGACTACCTAAACATCTAAACTATCACTACATAGTATAAAACAAAGTCACTATCCGCCGTCTGTCTGTCCCTATGTATGATTAGATCTTTAAAACTACGCAACGGATTTTGATGCGGTTTTTTTAATAGATAGAGTGATTCTTAAGAAAGCTTTCATCATCATCAACAGCCTATAAATGCCCACTGCTGAGCAAAGCCTCTTCTCTTCTCACACGAAGAAGGTTTGAGCATTAATCACCACGCTTGCTCAATGAAAGAAAGAAAGAAAGAAAAACCATTTATTTTGCTACGACACACAATAAGAATTTAGAAACCCAAAAAATAGCAATAAACCAATGCGGGTTGGCGATTACAAACTTATTATTAGAAATTATAAGTCCAGGTTTCCTCACGATGTTTTCCTTCACCGTTTGTCAGTGGTGTCTAAATAATAAGAAAGGTTTATACGTATAATACTTGCATATTGCACCAGTGCGAAGTCGGGGCGGGTCGCTAGTATAATATAAAAATGAATCCCTTTTCCCTTGGTCACGGCATCACGCGTGAACGCCTGGACCAATTTCACTAATTCTTTTTTTTTGTTGTATTTGTTACTAGCTTTTACCCGCAGCTTCGCTCGCGTCACAAAAGAATAAAAAGTAGCCTATGCGACATATACCAATACACACAGCGCCATCTATACAAATACTTTAGTTTTTCCTCGGGAATATCAATTTTTTCCGGGATAAAAAGTACCCTATTATTTAATCCGGACTTCTAACTTTACGTCTGCAAAAATTCAAAGCAATCGGTTGAGTAGTTACGGCGTGAAAGTGGAACGAACAAACAAACAAACAAACTCACTTTCCCATTTATAATATGGATACTTGCATATTGCACCCGTGCGAAGCCGGGGCGGTTCGCTAGTATAATATAAAAATGAATCCCTTTTTCCTTGGTCACGGCATCACGCGTGAATGGCTGGACCGATTTCACTAATTCTTTTGTTGTTGTATTTGTTATTATTAGGAGAAGGTTCTTAAGACTGAAAAATACTGAAAATCCTGCGGGAACGGGAACACTTCTATGTACATTTTATACGTAGAAATGACGTTTTAGCCCCCACTCCTAAACTTTGATTCGTTTTATCTAAGTATTGTTTTATTATACGACAAAATAAAAAATACCTGTCTAACATTTTTTCATTACCTAACTTACGGACTAACATACATACATACATAACTTCACGCCTGTCTCCCATGGGGGTAGGCAGAGACTAAGGAACGCCAATTACTACGATTCTTACATACCTCTTTCGCTTCATTAACAGTCTTTTCATGCATGCTCGTCGGTTAAGGGTACTTTTAATTATACTTACGGAATAATTAAATTTTTAATTTTCATACCCTGTCATCATCCCTATTTTGTGGACAAATTCACGTAAATATTACTGTTATAAATAATATCATACTATATTTCTGTTCAGTTAAAGATATGTAATCAATTAAATAGTTTTTTAATTACTTTTTAATTATTTTATAATGACAATATTTATATTGTGGTTTCTAATGACTATATTAGTAAATAAACGAGTTTATTTTTAACCGACATTAAGAAAAAAAAATGTTCCTTGTATATTTTATTCATTTATTTATTTAAAAAAAACTGTCCCACACTAAGATTATCTCCTGTGTCGTGGGTGCGTTTACAAACATACAAGTTCACATACACATGACACCCAGACCCGAAACAACAATTTGTGGATCACACAAAGAGTTGTTCCGTGCGAGAATCGAACCTGCTACACGTTGTGCGGCAGCCGGTTGCCTAGCCACCGCGCCAACCATGGAGTCAAAAACTATCATAACATAACATCACGCCTTTTATCCCCGAAGGGGTAGACAGAAGTGCATATTATGCCATTATACAATGTAACACCCACTTTTCACTATTTATATTATGAGTCCCATGTAATAGGGGGTGAGCCTATTGCCATATACCGGGCTCAATTCCAGACTCCATACTACTACTGGATTTTTTTAAAAACC